AGACATAAATAAATTTTAATGATAAATATTATTTAGCTTAAAATAGAAACTTATTTTATGGTCAATTACTGTAATAATGACTAATAGCTTAAGTTTTAAGCTTCTTTACTTCTATCTATTATTAAAGCTATGAATTGCTTATTCGCTATCTTTCTTTCTTTATCTTACGCGTTAGTCTTTTAACTTTATTTATTATGTCATTTTGCAATATTTTGTCATTGAGGTGATGGCAAGTTGGGATATTTAAATCTTATTCATAAAATGATCTAATATATAATGCGTATTAATACAATTTTTATCAAAGAATATTTTGATTTATTAAATATTCTTTAAAAAGATAATTTAATTAATTTACATCAGATTTTAACAAAAAATAAACATTTAAAAACTTAATGAATTTTGTTTATTGGCATATAATTAATTAATTCAAATTAATTTGTTAGAAAAAAAAATATTGAGATATAAAAAATAAATGGATACAATCAGCTAAAATCTTGTAGAATCCTAAGAAGCTAAATATAAGCTTGCTTTGCATCTTCAAAACAGGAAAAAAGTCAAAGAGATGTACAGAATGAAAGGTGTCTAAATGCTCGATAAGCCGGAGTTAGTCAGTAAAAAATATTTAAATTAATATAATTTTTTATAAATAGATTGAAAGTTATTAATATTTAATTAAATATTAATACTTCTCTTGATTCTAATCAAATTTTATCTTAATTAACTAAAGTTTCTGATATCTAAGAACCTAAGTTATAACCTAAATAAGCTTCAATTTATTATACTATGAAAAATGAGTTAACTAAAAAAGGCTACTCTGATTTTAGGTTTTTAGGGCAGGGAGGATAGGGACTAGTCTTGCTAGTAAAAGATTCTAAAACTAATATTAGGTATGCTATCAAAGGTGTTCAAATAAGAGATCCTTTCGGAAATTTTTATGAAGATGTCAACAATCAAGTGAAACAAGAAGTAGAAATACTCAAAAAATGTAGAGACTCTCCTTACGTAGTCAGTCTTTTAGATTAATTTGAAGGAGAACAATTTAGTTACTTAGTTCTAACTGAGTGTTAAGGTACAGATAATAAATAATACTAATTTATATAAAAATTTATAAATAAATTAATCAAATTGTTTAATTGAAAATATTGAAAAGAAAATTAAATGTTTTTAATAAAAAGGAACTCTCACCTAAATTTTAGAAAGGAACTAAAACAAAAGACTGAATGAAATGTCCGCAATCAAATATGCTAATGACATTGCTCAAGGTATCTACTACATTCATTCTCAAAACTGCCTAGTTAATGATCTGAAAATGGATAATATCTTAATTGACTACAATGGGAATGCCGTTGTTTGTAAGTTTTTTACAAATCCAAACAAACTTGATTGATTTTCTAAAAAATATATCAAATAGCTGATTTTGGTTTGGCAGATAACCAAATAAGCAAATCTGGCTATTCAACAAATCAATATGTATGCACTCATATTTTCATCATATTAAAATTGTATTCAAATAATTCAATTCAAAAAATGAAAGATGGGAAACTTCTTGTATCAAGCACCAGAGTGTTATGACCCAGCTGATCTATTCGGTAAGGTTTATTATGATGAATATTTAAAATTAGGCGTCACAGTGAGACAAGAACCAAGCAAAAG